GGTTGGAGATGCCATCCACGCCCGGAGCCTTTTTGGGTTTAAGTCCTTTGATGAGGGATGAGATCTCATCATTGGACACAGTGATAGGGTCAGAGGCTGTAAGGGGTGAGTTCCGGCGGCGGACCTCATCCTCCACTGCCTGAATATGTGAGGGGTCGACAGGTTGAGAGCTAGGAGAGAATTGTGCGGCAATGCTGTCTGCAAAGCACTCAGCCTTTTCATCGTCCTCGAAGGCAACCGCACCGTCGGGGCGGGAGAGTGGGGGAATGTGAGTGGTAGCGTCTATACGGAGGTCTCTAGCCATCTGATAGTACGCTGTATGTGAGGGAGATATATTCTCCATGAGCTCACTCCTTTGGAGTTCTCGAAGTTCGCATAGGCGGAAACGGAGTTCTCGTGGAAGACGATTGGCCGTACGCCTATATTCGGATGTGGGATATTTTGCTGCTCTCCGGAAAGCAGCTTTTTTGACTTTTAATAGGTTGCTAATATGTAGGGGAAGCCCACTATTATTAGCCACCGGGACGACCCTTTCATTCTCCTTAAGGGAGGATTTAATATGGGTGAGAGTGAATCGACCGCGGTGTCGATTTTTTCGGGACTGTCTAAGTTTAAGTCCGACGAAGTCCTGTGAGTCCAGCGCTTTAGCTAGAAACTCCTTGAAACCTTTCCAATTAGTGAAGGTTTTAGTGGGTGTTAGGGGGGGTGGCTGATGGCCAAGAATAAAGGAGACCGGTCGGTGATCGGATCCTATATCGTCTAGTGTCACGATTGACCTGAGGTTGAGAGAAACTCCTTTGAGTAACGCAAAATCTAGTACATCGGGGGTGTGATCGGTGTTATCGGGATAGTGCGTAACACCGAGTGGACTGTGGACAGTAATGTCAAGAGACTGCGTTATTTCAAGCAGTTTCTTGCCACTATGGGAGGTAGAACGGCATGTCCATTCAGTATGCTTGGAGTTAAAATCTCCAAACATAATGACTGAATTGCCTAGAGATAAGATGGCCTTAAAATCTCTTTTGAGGGGGAGGTTTCCACTGGGGATGTAACAGGAGGCTATGACTAAAGACTGATGTCCCGTCATAGCTAACCTGCATACCGTGGCTTCCATATTGGTAAGCTGCGGAGTATTAATGTGCGAGCAATGAATTGTCTTCTTGTAATAAATGGCCGTACCGCCGCCCTGGCGGTCCGGCCTGTCATTACGAAGAAGAGAATAATTTTTAATGTTAAGGCCTTTAATGTCCTTAGATTAAAGATTGGTTTCCTGAAAGAGGAGGAAATTGGCTTCGCGATCTCGAAGGAGGAGCTTAAGCTCTGGGAGGTTAATTTGTAAACGAATGTTAAATGAAACAAGCGATAACCCTTTAGGCTTGACACGACCGCGACATTTAGGCAGAGCGGATTGCTCTGTCATTGTTAAGTTAATTAAGTTAACTTAACTTACAATGAACGCAAAAGATTATTATGCTCTACAAGAGTGAGGAGACGGTCGTGAGGGGAACGAGCAGCGCGCAATTTGCGCGCTAATACAGCGACTTCACCAATGTCGATGTTCCTTATCGCGGCGTAAACCGTGTCAAGGTCATCGACCATTGAGGGCTGTGGTTGTTGCGGGTCGGAGGTTTTCCGCGGTGGGTCGGCCTTTTTGGGGCCCCAAGGAAATACTGGAGGCTGCGAAGGCTGTGCAAAGCCCGGAGGGGGCCTAAGAGGGGCCTGAGGGGCGCTAGGGGGACCCTGAGGAGGCCGTGAGAAGCCCTGGAGTGGATGGGCGAAGCCCTGACGGGGCTTCCTTGAGTAGAGAGCCGGGAATGAGTGGTCATTAACCGGCAGTGGGACTTGTCTACTAGGACGAGGACCAGGAGCGCACGGGCAACCTCTGTAACTTGCCGGGTGGCCGGGTGTCTGTCTGCTGACATAGGACACACGCGGGTGGGGATTCGGCATTTTTGGGCCGGGGACACTCTTTCGTGTTGTGGGGGTCGAGGCACTTAACGCACCTGGGTGGAGCGGAGCAATTGGCCGCCGAATGACCATACAGCTGGCAGCGGTGGCACTGCGCCGGGAAACCGCGCCTATGCGGTGGCTCAACATTCACTCCCGACAAGCCACACACTGTGCGTACTTGCCGGAAGATAGTTTTAGCCTCCGGAACGTTTGTGAGAATAACTAAGGCTAACGGGTATCTCAACCCGGTTCTGCTGTGCACTTTATGCACAGCCTCAACGGGGAATCCTTGTGACTTAAGGTCCTCAAGGATCTCCTCGTTGGAGAGTTCGAACGGGACGCTTCGGTTGACGGCCCTGACTTTACGCTCTTCCGGAAGAGCGTAAGTGTGGTAGGACACACGTTCATTTGTAAAAAGCCTTGTAAGGCGACGAAAGTCGTCTTTTTTTTTATAGGACAAGGGTGACAAACGAGCACACAGTCCACCTGATGGTAAGTGGTTGCTGCGGCCCATAGACATCTACATCTATCCTCTGTTACAAATCAAAATGTAGATGCGTTGTCACCCGTGAGGACCAAGATGGAATGCATCATTTGCAGTAAAAAGGGCCTCCGGCCACCTGCACTCACCAAGCGAAACGCAGAGGTAAACCTCTACTTCACGCTGGTTTTCTGTGAGGTCGTGGTACTACCCCGGTTCGAGCCGGCTCATCCGTGCGACAGCAAAAGCTGCCGCGTGGCTCTACCACTGTTAAACTATTTTAATAGCTACACCCATGTTGGTAGCTTGGTCGTATTTTATACCTGCGTCATAGCAGATCTTTGAGAGTCTAGTAAATTCTGACTTGTCTCTTAGAAAGACAGGGGGCGGAACTTGCTTCTTAGCAAGTACGGGAGCGCAACGAGAGGCCGGCTTTGACGGAGCTGGGATGTATAGCGACATAAGGGCGATCGGGGCAGCAGCTGGGGCTGCGGGGGAAGAGGCGGCATCTAGAGCTGCGGGGGGTGCGGCAGCGACAGGGGGTTCGGCAGCGGCGGCGGCTGCGGGGGTGGGGGGAGCGGCAAGGGCCGCTGAGGCAGGGGTTGCGGTTTTTCGCGGCGCGTTTTACGCCGCGCTTGGATGTCACCGTTGTATATGAGTTACCGGTTCCATCGGAGTCCTCTGACTCCGATGTCCTGGTGCTGGACTTAGTGGCAGGCCTCTTCCGGGAGGCCGATATGGAGGAACCGGAGTCGGAGTAGGAGCACTCAATATCTAGTTCGAGAGGGCCGAATGAGTTTCGGAACTCAAGGTGGGCCGCTATAACGGGCGGCGGTTGATTTGCCTGAAGGGCGGGAGTAGCCAAAATGGCCAGGGCTGCGGCGAGAGCCTGCGGGTCATCCATCCTATTGATGGCGCCGAATAGGGAACCTTTGAGGTCTTGAGTGGACATTCTAAAGACGTGACGTTCTACTCTAAGGCAAGTAGGGGCGGGGGTCTACGTTCTCAAAAGAACGGGACGTTCTTATCTAAAACAGTACGGACAGCACGGACTCCTGTTCTCAGAGGAACAGAGTCTTGCTCTGAAAAGAGCCAGTAACGTATTCTAAGAAACCTTATATAAAACACAATAATAACACAAAGGAAAGAAATAACTATAGATTAAACAAATAGTTAATAAAAATAAACTAAATAAACTAATAAACAAGTCTACAATATTAAAAGCGGTCAGTCAAACCTCCCCGACCGGAGGCGTGGGAGTAAGAGCTGAGAGTTAGCGAAAAACACTTACCGAGCTTCGGCGCTATAGAGCGCGAACAGAATATCGAAGCGCGGTACGCGGAAGGGGCACTAACGTAGTGACGTTAGCGCGCGCGGACAACCTGAACACACGTCACTCGAGAGCAACGGCGCAGGCGGAATTTGATTAATGGAAACGTATCCGTCTCCTTTAACTATTTATATAGTTGTTACGGACGGCGAAGGGAACCGCCGCCCCGTCGCCCCTTCATACCCCGTTGCGCCCCGCGCACCCCGCACTCCGGCAGCAGATCACGCGATGTCGCCGACCAATCAGCGCGCGGTATCGCCTCACGACGCTACTCACATACTGAGACGCTCTCTTGCGAGATATAAGAAGGGCGTTTTGGTCTGTGAGCTGTTCATTTCGGAAGCGGCACTCGAAGACAACAGCAAGAGAAGAAGCATCAAGAGAAATCAAGAGATACTCCATTGAAGATTGAAGAGTAAAGACTCCCCTCTCTGTATATAGTTTATTAGTGCTGCATTTGTAAATATTTGAATACAGTATCGTCTACAGTACCATCTTTCCTTTAAGCAGTCCCTAGCGTAGTAATTAGCCAGTCAACCAGTTTTATACAATAAATTCATACAGTCCACTACAGTCCCTAATAATATTAAAACCCGACATCAAAAAATAAAATAGTTTCCTGCTAGAAAATATATACTGTATAGAAGAATTAACGCAACGACTACAGAATGTGTTATGTGGAAATTAGTTATAACTATAGGTCTTTGAAGTCAGCTTGTACTTTTAATCAAACGTTATTATTTCTTAATTTCCTAAGTAAAATAATTAAAAATTAAAAATATTGTACAACCAACTTCTATATAAATTACTAAAAATAACTCCAAAACTATTAGTCAGACCTTGATGAAATTAAAATGGGACTTCATGAAAAGCACCAGCTTTCAAATGAAAAAAGAATCTAAAAGAAGTTATGAGGTAACACGTAAAAAAGGAACATACAGTTTAATTTTGTACCTTCTCCTTATGAAGTCTGTAGAAAAATTATATCTATTAACAAATCCTCGTATCTATGAGAGTAACCAATATCTAGAAGTAAGTTTTTATAGGCTAATAAAAAGAAGAATGTAATTATAATGTAACCATTTCATCGCGTATAAATGGCAATTAAACTTTATCTGTAATTGTACGATAAAACACTTAATTGTTATTCCACAAATAGTATTCATCGCTCGAAAAATATTTAAAGTCAGATTCAAATGTATTTACTATTAAATGTACTATTTTTTTAACACGGCCAACATGTGGTATTTTATAAAACTGTTGGCGCTTGTACGTCTTAGTATATCAACATTTAACGAGGAAATTGATTACATGTACAAAAGCAAACCAATAAACGAGTTTATTGAATACTTCAACAATCTGAACCTTTCTTGGAAGATTACTCACTATGACAACTTAAACGCGTCCACGCACTTATGCTCCTTATTAAAATCCGAAGAAAATATTCCATACATCAAACCCGATGTGGATGGCGAAATTTCCCTCCCAGTTAATTTTGATTCCCGAGAAAAGTGGGCTCATTGCCCAACAATCGCTGAAGTCTATGATCAAGGTCGTTGCGGGTCTTGTTGGACATTCGGCGTGGCCACAACCGCATCTGATAGGACCTGTATCCACAATAATATTACCGTACGTTTATCCGAACAAGATCTTGATTGTTGTAAAGACTCGTATTCTACTCGTAAATCTGTCTGTGGTGGAGGGAGCCCCGAAGAAGCATTTAAATGTTGGACAACTTTAGGATTAGTAAGTCTAGACTGTAGGCCATATAACATTCAAGAACTGAAAGGTAATGATACTTGTAAAAAAACATGCAAAAATGGGAAACAATATCAGTCTGATAAACACTACGGCAAAAATGTGTGGAGAGTACCTAAAGACGATGACATTATAAGAACTGAACTGTTCAGGAATGGTCCAGTAGAGGCTTCATTTAAAGTCTACGAAGATTTTGGACATTACAAACATGGTATCTATGAACATAAATATGGTAAATCCTTTGGGGGACACAGTGTCCGCGTTATTGGTTATGGTGAAGAAAACGGAACCCAGTACTGGTTGGTGGCTAACAGCTGGGGACCGAAATGGGGAGAAAATGGTTTTTTCAAGGTAAAAAGATTTCAACACGAATTAAATTTGGAAGCCAATATTTTAACTGCTTTTCCGAAAAACATTTAATTTTTTTAATATGAGTATATTCAAATAATATTAAAATTGCATTACTATTGATTGTATTTTTATTACTAATTAAAATATCTATTCCACTATTTTACATTACGTATAATTTTTTTGCAATTCTTAATTAATCAGTGATGGATATTTTTCTAAGCGAAATATACCGAAAATTATCATATATAAAGTATGTACTGAGAACAGAATAGATTATATATTTATTTTTTCATCACAAACAGCTACAGAGTTATTGATGACAAATATGTTAAACCATATATAGTCCTTCCCATGGATTTCGATTCTACTCTAGGAACTCATGGATTTTACCTAGCATATGGTTCGCTAGAACGAACTTGGTCTTAAATACCCTTTGGCATGCGTGACAGTACTGTTGGCCAGACGAGTTGTAAGTATACGCGTAGCATGGCTTAGGTCTCTCTTTTTTATTTTAAACCAAAAGAGATGTTAAACCACTCCCCTTCTTGCCTCAGCCAGTATCGGTATCCTCGGAGTCGACATATCGAGTGACGTGCAGTTTCGTGGTCACTTGGAAGAGAAGGCCAAATTGGCCTCTAAAAAGCTTGGCGTGTTCAGCAGAGCGGGACAGTATTTCATGCCGGCACACCGCCTGCAACTTTACAAGGCGCAGGTCCGGCCTCACATGGAATACTGTTCTCATCTCTGGGCCGGGGCACCCCAGTGCCAGCTCCTTCTACTTGACCGGATCCAACGCAGAGCGGTTCGAATCGTCGATGACCGAGTTCTTTCTGATCGGCTCGAACCACTGGCACTGCGTAGAGATGTTGCATCTCTTTGCGTATTTTATCGCATCTACCACGGGGAGTGCTCTGAGGAATCGTTCGGACTAATTCCAGCCGCTCAATTTCACCATCACACATCGCGTCAAAACTCGCGAGACCATCCATACCATCTGGATGATTGGCGGTCCACCACTGTGCTATTTAGAAGTAGTTTTCTCCCTCGCACAACTTCCTTGTGGAATCAATTACCACCAGCGAATTTTCCGTACCGATACGACTTAGGAACCGTCAAGAAAAGAGCTTACACCTTTCTAAAAGGCCGGCAATGCATCTGCAATTCCCCTGGTGTTGCGGTTGTTCATGGGCGGCGGTAGTCACTTACCATCAGGTGAGCCGCATGCTCGTTTGCCCCCTCTTCTATAAAAAAAATATTTAACAATACCTTTTCTATATGTCACCAGGTCTTACCTCTCGGATTATACAACTTTAGTTTACACGTTTATAAAATATATTGACGAGATCATTACTTTCATTGAATTAGTTATGAGAAAATCAATAATTAATAAAAAGAAAGATTAATATGAGAGCCAATTTATGTAATGATGTAGATACATATTTTAGATTAAAATGTATACATATAAATATAATAATTGTATATAAAGAGTTTTAAACATAATATATTATTATGTGTGTGATATTATAGTTGGGATATAAGGAACTTTCGAGGCATTCGCAAGTTAAAGATTTGAGCTAGTTTATTGTTTTTTATATTTCAATTTAGACATACTCTTACATTATGGATATATTTAAATATACAGGGTTATTTTTCAAAGAGTAGCCAAATTTTAATCTTAAGTTCAAATATATAAATAATGATATATCGTTATTGCAGATTTTGAAATTACGAGTAAAGGAGGCTATTAATTTTTTTTTTTATTTATGGACAGCAACGTTTTTGCCTATCGATCGACATTTCAGTAAAATCAGTTAAAATTATGCATAACCACGCATTTTGAATTTAAAGATAAAAAGGACAGATTGTTTGAGATTTTTTAAATTAATTTTTCTTCATCATTTGCATATATTACTTATTCTGAACTTTCCGAAATGGATATGGTTATATGGATAACAGCCTGTTTATTTTATTGTAAATATACAACATATATATAATATATTATATATGTATACATATGTATATATATATATATATATATATATATATATATATATATATATATATATATATATATATATATATCTATATATATATAATAAAAAAAGAGCAAGAAGAAACTTTTTGGTGATACCAACAAGTTTCTTCTTTCTCTTTTTTACAATACCAATGTATGGAATTATTTTTCAAGGAACATACATAGTAACGCGTACAAGAAATAATTTTCTAGCCTATCAAAATTCCACAGCAGAACTAAGGCCTATCCAAAGATTGCCTCATAAAAAGGATATTTCCCATAGTTCCCACGCTTGGCGGTTTAGCAACCGCAGTTTTGTTATTATTTTGAGTTGTTACTAAGAAATATGCTGCTGCATATCCACATATGTCCACAAATCTCCGTACAATAAATAATACAAAAAATAAAATTTTCATATTTAAATTCCAGGGTGATTCTTATTTTTTTTTTACTTATTATAAGCCAGTGCTTGGCCACAATCCCACCTGGTGGTAAATGGTGATGCAGCTTTAGATGGTAAATCGCACTGTCTTAGCATATCAAAAGCCTATTCACTCTTGCCTTGAAGACGCCCAAATTGTATTCGGACCGAAAGGTAGACGCCGGCAAATTATTCCACTCCTTTGCTGTACGCTTTACAAAAGACGAAGCAAACCGTTTGGTTCTAATGCGTGGAATATCGACAACAAAGGGATGAAGACCCGCCGACCGTCTGGTTGTCCGATGGTGGAAAGGAAAGGAGAGGGAGGAATTAAAGAGTGTAATTACTGCGTAGTACTTTTTTATCAATTTTTAGTGCCATGATTGTAGTAGCGGCAAGAATCCATCATCATAATGTTGTAGTGGGTTAAGTAAGAGGTCACATTTGTCACTTGATGTAATACTGTGATCACCAATCCGCTAACTAAGCATGGTGGATTTCAACCAATCCTTCCTCCAATAGGACAGTTTTCAAATGTAACTAATGACTATTAACTTACAAATAAAACCAGACAGAGAGCCAGAGAGAAAGAGAATTTCACCCTATGTTGACGCATCAAAGGGGCTTACCTTCTATTTCTAAATGAAAACGATAAAAATGGATTGTTTTTTTTTTACATCGTGTTGAAAATTTCCAGCCACAGGATCGACCATTCTCAACCCCTGAGCGACGTGACAAAAACACCCTGTGGACTGTAAATTTCTTTAAATACTTCTCATTATATGCAATAGCCGCATAACAGTTTAACCCTTCGCAGCAGATGGGGATCATTTCAGCCCCTTATTAGGATTAGCGTCCACCGCTAGCGACAAAACTTGAAAGATATATATTATCTTACATTTCAATTTCTCTGTCGTTTACAAACGGAACCCTGTGGAACAATTCATACATACATATATACATAAACACTCACGCCTGTCACCCAGAGGGGTAGGCAGAGACTACGGACTTCCATTTGGCGCGATCCTGACACACCTCTCTCGCCTCTTTCACATCCATATATCTACGCATACACGCTCGTCGGTTAAGGGTACTCCTAATCTGGCCCATTTTCAATGTATCGCCGATCTGGTCGATAAACCTTCGTCTAGGGCGTCCCTTCCCGACCCTGCCGTTCACTTCTGCAACATAAATTTGCTTTGTCACTCTTTCCTCGTTCATTCTTTCTACGTGACCAAACCACCGAAGCATTCCTTTCTTAATCCTTGTCACAACGTCATCTTGCAAACCACACTTTTCTCTTATTACACTATTTCTCACCCTGTCATTCAGATTCAGCCCTAGCATACTCCTTAAGGAACGCATTTCTACAGCATTTATTCTACTCTCATGCTTCTTCTGCCAGACCCAACTTTCACTACCATACATTAAAGTGAGTACTAACACAGCATTATGAATTGCCATACGTGCCTTAGTTGACACATTCTGACTCCTCACAATAGCGTGTAGAGCCCCATTCACTCTATTTCCTGCGTTCACTCGTCGTTCTATATCCTTATCATATCTACCATCCCTGCTAAATAAACATCCCAAATATACAAACTCATCCACTTGCTCAATCAACTCCCCTTCTATTCTTATTTTACATAAAGTTTTACTTTCTTCTCTTTCAAAAACCATCACTTTCGTCTTACTTGCGTTCACTTTCATACCCCTTTCTTTCAATGAACAATTCATTAAAGTAACCATCATTTGCAACTCGGCCGCCGACGATGCAAATATGACTTGATCATCGGCGTACAAAAGGCATTTGACGGTTGACTCACCCATTCTCAACCCACATTCTTCAACTTTCAAAGTTTGCAAACAACTGTCCATAAATAGGTTAAACAGCCACGGGGAAGCCACACATCCCTGTCTGACACCTTTATGAATGCCAAACCAGTCCGAGTAGACCCCGTTGATCCTGACACAAGCACTAGAGTCCCTATAAAGAGACCTTAATGCCTGTATCAAGCCAGCGCTCAACCCAAATGAGTTCAGTGTTTGCCATAACACGTTCCTGTCCACTCTGTCATAAGCCTTTTCCAAGTCCAAGAACGCACAAAAAACTTTCTGGTTTTTAGCCAAAAACTTCTCCGCTATCATGCGCATGGAAAAGACTTGATCCGTACACCCCATCCCCTTTCTAAATCCAGCTTGCACATCCCAAATTTTTCCATCAGTTTCTTCCATAACTCTTTCAATTAACACCTTAGCATACAGTTTACCCACAATGCTAAGCAAGCTGATACCACGGTAGTTTTTACAGTCCTGCTGCGACCCCTTTCCCTTATATATTGGGACTATAACGGCTTTGCACCAGTCTTCCGGTACCCGTTTCAGTTCCCAACATAAATTAAACAAGGTGTGCAGCAGGCCTGCAACCACACCCTCACCAGCCCTTAGCATTTCGAGTGATACTCTATCATATCCGGCTGCCTTACCTGCTTTCATGCTTTTCATTGCTTTCATTATTTCATCTACACTTATCTCCCTACCTCTCTCCACTTCTTCCGGAATTTCTATTTCACTTATTTCAGACGACTCTTCACTCTTAAACACGCTTTCAAAGTATTCCTTCCATCTCTTTAA